CTCCCCACTTATGCAAATGAAGCCTGGTAAATTCAAATCCCAGGCTTCATTTGCAAGTGCGGTATGCCTACATTACCCCGCTAGTTCGAACTAGCGGGGTAGTGTAGACATACCCGGAATGAGGAATTCAGAAGCAAGCTTGTGTCTTTATTCCTCTTCTTTTCTTTTCTTTTCCCGTAGGGAGAGAAATGGGGGGGAGATGCCCCCAGACAGGATAAAAAACAAAGGTCTTTTTTCTCCATCTTTTTAATCCCAAGTGAGTTTTAAAAAACCCAAAAAAGGGACACTATTAGGGAGAAAAAAGAAACAAAGTTAGCTACTATTTATGCTAATGATACAGATAAGGAAAAGACAACTACTCTCTAGTATGAAGCCAAAAGCTGGAACTGAGAGGCTAGATAGCTTCCAGGTATATCACAAGGAAGGGGGGGAGGAGTCTCAAAAGGCACTGCTATCTTCTGTTAGAGATGCAGGGGCACACATACACCTACACTGGAGTACCCATGCAGACACGCATATTGAAAATGTTAGACTTGGCAGTTGCGGCATGCATTACTTTCACTTCTACTCTCTGTATCTCATGCGATAAAGTGACATGCATGTTTTATACAGTAATTGACAATGTGCCTTCTCTGAACCCGTGAACCAGAGAATGGTCTTCTGCCCTCTGAGAAGGGCTATCAAAACTAATGGGACATTGTGAAACATTGCCTTCCAAAGAGTTGGTAAATGGATCTTTCACACGTGATGGTGCCATGTGTGCTCATCTTGAATGCTGGAAGAGGGGGATAAAACAGGGACAAAAATATTTTCTAGCTTCTGTAGGCAGGCCTGACGCTTGGGCCTTGTGCTTGAAGCAAAAGTTATACTATGAGTAACAGACAGGCCTTGTGAAAAGCAAATGTTTGCCTGCAAGTCAGTGTCTCTTGGCACTAGAATTCCTAGCACTGATAAAAGCATGTGAAGTATGTAAGCACAATCCACCAGGACAGTACAGGGACACCCAACTGAGTATATGATAAAATAGCTTGAAACAACAAGAGTGATAAAAGTATAACAACGAGCAGTGTATTCTCTGGAGGAGAGTCCAAGAGGAGGTACCAAATGTGTCATTAATGTGCAAGATGACACAGTGTGTATCATACAGTGTGTTCATTTCGGTCTATAAATATTAAATATCACTTAATTCTTTGGCCAGCCTATGAGGCAATAGTGAATCCATACTATCGATTGAGCCGAGACCATTGTCCCGGTACAAATATATAGGGGCTTAGAGGTCATCTGGCTATCAACAACTATTAATGTACTTGCTTCAATAATAAACCTGACTCAGGGGCCTTTGTATCTTATCTGAGTCTTTGGGGGCTCTCGTAAAGTCTATGATGCTAGCTACCTGTGTAGAGCTGGCACAATATACTGAGGGAGCATACAAAATTGAATGCAGCCAAATGTTTATCATCACTGACTGAGCAGGAGACCTGTCAGGATGCCACTATGGATTCACAGTGAAACCTAAATTTACTGTATCACTGTCCTGAACTATTACAACTTCACTATTTGCACGTCATAGAGCTGGAAGCAGTGTTCCCTCTAAGCTGCAGGGTAGCATAGCTTCACAGGTGATTAATCATCCCCACCCAGTCAGAGTCTCCCTGCACAGAGCTGTGAAGCTGTGTTGCTGCTGAGCTTTGGGGGAACACTCGTTGGAAGTAGGGAAAAGGAGTAGAGATCCCCAAGTCAACCTGGGCTGATCCTACTGATGACATAGTTCTGACACCTTTTGGAACTGTAGACTGTAATTCATTTCCGTAATGTATTGCCTTCTTTAACTTGTACCCAGAGCCATCCCATCCATAGGATGGGCCAGGGCAACCACCACAGGCTCCATGCTTTGGGGGGTCCTGCACTTTAGGGAGACACAAATTCCAGGGTGGTCTGCAGGGTTAGCCAGGGGGCCTGGTGCCAGCAACAGCAAGAAACCCAGCTCCAGACTGCTCAGCTGGCTCCCAGCATCATTTGGGCTGTCTGTGGAAGCCAGAAAGAAAAGGCAGATAGGACTGGGGGGAGATGGCAAAGTACGGATGGGAGGAGGTAGGGTAGTGGCTTGGGAAAAGAGGCTGGGGATGGGTGGGTGGTGTGTTGTCTTCCTTAGAGATGGTCCTGCCTCTAAATAGTTCTCTTTTCCTTTCCCTAGTTAATAAATCCATAGTTAGCTTACTATTAGCTTGGCTACAAGTGTCATCGCTGGTGTGATGTCTGAGGTACAACTTATCAGGGATAAGTGTCTTGGGATTGGAAGCAACCTGAATCTTTCTGATCTTTGGTATCTGGCAACCAGCCTAGCGCTAGTCCAGTTTGCCTGGCTGACAAGATACATTAGGGAGCCCCAGAAGATGACTCTGTGGTAAGACTGTTGTAGGGCTTCAGGAGTTCACATGTGTTACTGGGTTGGTGAAATATAATTATAGACCATACAGCTGATTAGTAGGGAGTGCCCTGCTTTTTGACAGTCTATCCTAAGCTATTCACTGTTGTGAACCACTTCCAACAGCGTGACCAGCTGTTGCAGTGACGGGGGTCAGGGTCCATTGCAGCCAGTTGTTTTTCTGATCCATTTCACTGATTGCCTGGCAATTTGGGCTCACACTTGGCTGGGTCCCCAGCAAGAACAAGGGGATTCTCCCTGCCCTCCTCCCTTCTGGCTCTCTCCTCTTCTGGCCATTTTAATTATTGCCTCCAAATAGGGTGTCTTTCCCTGGTGCTGGGGAGCCAGGCTGCACTCACTTTGGCTCCCCACTCTGCTCCTGGGTCCTTTCCACAGCACCTCTCACTCATGTTCCTCCTTCCCAGCCTTTCCCCTACATCCCAGTACTTTCTAGCTCCCAGGACAGCCTGCTGCCCCACACGTGACCATCTCTTACCTGCTCAGCATGGCTGGTCACCTGGAGGAGCATGGCACCTAGAGAGGCACAGGAACGGTTGGCAGCATCCCAGGTGCCCAAGGAGCGGGACTGGAAGTAGCATCTATCCTGGAACAAAGTCCAGCCCATGCGACATGGGGCACAGACTGGGTGGAGGGGAGGAGGCACTGCATTAGTCATTGGGGCAGGGAAATGCCTGGGCAGCCTCAGAACCTAGGGCAGTTGGCAGAGACTGGCAGGGCTGCCCAGAAGTTTGAGGACTGAGAGCCTGGATTCTGCTGTCCACTCCCCAGTGATCATCACCAGGTCTCTGATCCTCCTGGATCCTGAGACCAAAATCAAAACTTTGCAAAGCTTTACTGTGGAGGTGCAGTCTAAGGTGATGGGAGGTCCCATTATACACTCCTCTTGGGGTAAGATGAAGCCAAATGTGCTGGTACAGTCACAGAAGGCTGCACCCAGTTCTATGTTTCATGACAACCAGATGCAGCTCCTGAACCTAAGGCAAGCCACTGGCACGGCTCCGAAGCCCATGAGCCCTGGGCCAATACCCATGGGAAACAACCATGCCTTGGATACAGAGCACCACCTCTACACACCACTGAGTGCTGCCCCAGGGAATTAACCCTATCCTGGTCTAGGGATCCATACACCCTAATGAGCTGAGCCACAGAAAGAAACTGCATAGCTAGCAAATTGGACACGGGCTAGTGGCTAGGCTGACAAGAGCAGGGACCCTGTAGGCTGGCCTGTAGGAGCAGCCACATGAATGATTGCAGCAGGGGGCTGGGAATTAGAGTAAGGAGCATATGGGATGGGGTGGGGCAGGAGTTTGGTCTGCCCCTGCATCTGCTCCCTGGAAGGAGTTTGATCCAAGTGGGGCAGCCTGCCACTTGGTGGCTTAGCTAACACAAGCCCTGGTCATCAGGATCGCAATGGGAACCCTGGGAGGGTGAACAAGTTAAGGCCAATGGGGAAAGGGTTGGCTTCAATCACTGAGCTCCATGGAAAAGCTTCCCCGGACTCCAGGACAGCCAGGTCAGGCTTTACATGGTCATCTCCCCTGAGATGCTGCAAGGGGCAGCTTCCTCCCACTCAGATTCACCACCTCAGGTTATCTGCAGACTCCGGCAGACGGAGTAACAATAGGGTCACATTTAGAAACTCAGACCCTGAATCACAACTCTGTAGGAAGCTCGCAGCTATTGGAACAGGAGCTCCTGAGACAAGGCCACCAGTGACAGAGACCAGACAGTCCTTGTCATCATTTTCAGCAAAGGGATGAGGGCAAGCTGCCTAATATGAGAGTTGCAGAGTCCCATGGGATGGGCTGATTCCAGAGAGGACTTCTGGGTTCTATTCTCAGCTCTGGGATGTTAGTGGGAGACTTCTGGCTAGAATGGGGGCAGAGAAGGTTCATAGGTGCTGAAGCTAGGAATGCTGGGGATGTGGCTGAACTCCCTGGCTTGAAGTGGTGTCCATTAAATAGAGGGCATGCAGTTTGGTTCAATGGCTCTATACAAATTGTTCTAGTGCTCCCTGGGCAGGTTCCAACAGGTATATGGGCAGCAACAGCATGGCTTGGAGGCAGGACAGGGTAGGACTCTGATTGGCTCAGTTGAGGTGAAGGTCACAGGGCCAGGTAGGTCCTGTGGAACTCACCATGACAGAAGCGGGAGCAGAGGTCCTCACGGCTACCGTACACGACCCAACGGCTCCAGGGCCCATCCCCTGTGTACAGCATCACCACATGGTTTGGGCTGTTGCCATAATTGAAATAGAGATTCTCCCTGGCGAGCGCCAGCAACCCGTTGGCCCGGCACTCCCAGTGCTGCAGCTCCTTGTGGGCTTCACAGGGCTCCAGGCGCACAGCCACTCGACTAAGCTGCTTTGGCACAGCTACACACTGCTGGCTGGCCACATTCAACAGCTGGCCCCGGGACAGCCACTGGAAGTGCTGGCTGGGGGCGTCAGGGATGCAGGGTGCAGCTGTCACAGAGCCGCTGCTCACTGTAGATGAGGAAGGAGCCCGAGGCTGGTGGGAAAGAGAGATAAGTGCTGGGGGAGGAGCACCACAAGAAATGGGAGACTGGGTGAGAGGTCAGCATGATCCAGAGACCAGCTTCAGCAATAAGGTTGCCAACTCTCCAGTTGCTGAAAACTGTCTACCCCCAAGCTAGATCCCCTGCTCTGTCTCTTCTCCTCCCCCACTCTCCCAATCACTCACTGTCCCTTCCTCCTTGACACAACTGCTGCCTGCAGAGCTGGGCAGAGTGGGGCACAGTGATTGGACTCTGGCTAAGAACAAGTCAATTATCGGTCTGAGGGGGGTGTCAGTCCTTAGAGTGAGGGGTTGGGGCACAGTGAGGTGGATTCCAGAGCCAAAAGCTGGAGATGAGAGTCTGGGAGCCAATTCTCTTCCTCGGCAGTTAATTTGGTAACTGGAATTCTAGCAGCAATGAGTGGACATGTTCCCCTTTAACCGGACACCTGGCAACCCTACCCAGCAAAAGGAATGAGGAGCAGGAGTAAGGGCCAGTCCACCTAACTCTGAGGCCCGAAGGTTTCAGGAAAGGTTGGGAGGCAGAGGCCCCCCGAGAGCTCAGCAGGTGGAGCCAGCAGGGCACAGTGGGGCCATAGGCCTGGGATTCACTACCACAGATACTCACCCACGTGCCGGAGCAGCTGGTTCTCCACTTGCATCCTCTCAAGAGTTCTGGCCATTTCCATATCTGCAAGAGATGGAAAACTCTTCACCAGTGGTCTTGGCATGTCACATCAGTCGGGCATTGGGGAGGGGACGAGAGGGCAGGGGAATGGTCAGAGCTGGCAGCTATGAGCCAGGACTTCTCGGTTCTTGGGAGGAAGGTTAGGGCAGAGCAGTGGATGGCTCCTGGGAGGCTCAGAGTCAGGATGCCTGTGTTCTAATCACAGTTCTGCTGCTGTCAGGCTTAGTGACCTTGGTCAAGTCATTGTCCCTTTCAGAGCTAAGGATGAGGACATATCACAGTTTAGAGCCAGCCCAGGGTAAAAATCCCAGTCAATCACCTGTTGAACAACACTGGGGAGACCAGAGCTACCAGGCACCAGAACATCTTCGCTCTGCCCTCACTGTAGGTATACAGCCCAGTACTCTTTGTGATGTGGCCTGTGAGATATTTTGTTCACTGTTGCCCATGTGCAGGGTTGCCAGTTTTTGCTGGTTTCCATCCGTGTAGTTTTTTTTCCTACTGGTGTTATTAAAGTGACATGCACATAAAGCAAGGGCATGTGAAGTGAAGTGCATGCTGATTGCACACAGCATTGACTGTGAGAGCCACATGCTCCCTCTGCATCCAATAACTGTGCTGCTATGGTTCAATTGGCACACCCTGCACGTTCTAGGTATGCAAGTGCCATTAGCAAAATTATCCTCTCCCAGGACACTGTTGTGGTTGTGCCAACCTTGTGGCCCACTCACTAACCTATTGCTGATCTATTGGGAACAGGCTGGACCTTCTGCCTGTCCTTAGTTCACTCACAGGGGCAGGGCAAGCTCATCCATAGCAGCTTCTCCTGCACTGGATGACACTAGGGCTATGTCTAGACTGCAGGCTTCTTTCGAAAGAGGCTCTTTCAAAAGCATCTTTCGAAAGAGCCTCTTTCGAAAGATCGCGTCTAGACTGCAGGCGGATCTTTCGAAAGAGAAATCCACTTTTTCGAAAGAGAGCACCCAGCGAGTCTGGATGCTCTCTTTCGAAGACGGCCTCTTTACATTGAAGAACGCCTTCTTTCGAAAGAGGAACTTTCGAAAGAAGGCGTTCTTCCTCGTGAAATGAGGTTTACCGCCATCGAAAGAAAAGCCGCGTTCTTTCGAAATAATTTTGAAAGAACGCGGCTTGAGTCTGGACGCAGGGGAAGTTTTTTCGGGAAAAGGCTACTTTTCCCGAAAAAACCCCTGAGTCTGGACACGGCCTTAGATGGGAAAGTGTTTAGATCTGCAGTAAAGTGGGTTGCCATATTATAAGCACAGTTCCTTGTAGGTACAAATCAGGTGCCAGGTTCGATCTGCTTTAAAAATCAGGGTCTTTGCAAACTGGTTTTGTTTCTGTCGGCTTGATGTTTCTGTTCAATAAACAATTATTAAAGCATGTGTCCACATTTTGTATATCTGCAGGATATTCTAGGCATGATCTCTCTCAGCTGAAAAAGGCTTTTTGATGAGGTGATGTTCTGTCACTCCAACATCATGAACTTGGAAACTGGAAGAAGCTGCCACCACTGGCCTCGTCTCCATTTCCACACTACGGGGATGGGAAATCAACATGGAAAAAGCACATTGCCTTGATAGCCAGAGAAGCCATCAGAGCTCTCTCCAATGACTCCCCCACTCCTGGGAGCATAATTTCACTCTAGGGAGGAATGGGGCACAGAGTGGTGAATGTGGCAAGCCAGTGGCAGAGCTAGGAATCCAGGGGTGTGTCTAAACTACATGGTTCCATCGATGGATCCATGTAGATTAGGCTGATCGGCAGAGGGAAATGATTATTTAAATCACGGCTTCATTTCTCTTTGCCGAACAAACAAATCTACATGGCTCCGTCAACGGAGCCATGTAGTCTAAACGTACCCCAGGAGTCCTGACTCCCATTTCCAGCCACTCTAACCACTAGACCCCACTTGTCTGCCATAGCTAGGGATGGAATCCACCCAGCAGTCCTGACTACATGGTTCCATCGATGGATCCATGTAGATTAGGCTGATCGGCAGAGGGAAATGATTATTTAAATCACGGCTTCATTTCTCTTTGCCGAACAAACAAATCTACATGGCTCCGTCAACGGAGCCATGTAGTCTAAACGTACCCCAGGAGTCCTGACTCCCATTTCCAGCCACTCTAACCACTAGACCCCACTTGTCTGCCATAGCTAGGGATGGAATCCACCCAGCAGTCCTGACTACATGGTTCCATCGATGGATCCATGTAGATTAGGCTGATCGGCAGAGGGAAATGATTATTTAAATCACGGCTTCATTTCTCTTTGCCGAACAAACAAATCTACATGGCTCCGTCAACGGAGCCATGTAGTCTAAACGTACCCCAGGAGTCCTGACTCCCATTTCCAGCCACTCTAACCACTAGACCCCACTTGTCTGCCATAGCTAGGGATGGAATCCACCCAGCAGTCCTGACTACATGGTTCCATCGATGGATCCATGTAGATTAGGCTGATCGGCAGAGGGAAATGATTATTTAAATCACGGCTTCATTTCTCTTTGCCGAACAAACAAATCTACATGGCTCCGTCAACGGAGCCATGTAGTCTAAACGTACCCCAGGAGTCCTGACTCCCATTTCCAGCCACTCTAACCACTAGACCCCACTTGTCTGCCATAGCTAGGGATGGAATCCACCCAGCAGTCCTGACTACATGGTTCCATCGATGGATCCATGTAGATTAGGCTGATCGGCAGAGGGAAATGATTATTTAAATCACGGCTTCATTTCTCTTTGCCGAACAAACAAATCTACATGGCTCCGTCAACGGAGCCATGTAGTCTAAACGTACCCCAGGAGTCCTGACTCCCATTTCCAGCCACTCTAACCACTAGACCCCACTTGTCTGCCATAGCTAGGGATGGAATCCACCCAGCAGTCCTGACTACATGGTTCCATCGATGGATCCATGTAGATTAGGCTGATCGGCAGAGGGAAATGATTATTTAAATCACGGCTTCATTTCTCTTTGCCGAACAAACAAATCTACATGGCTCCGTCAACGGAGCCATGTAGTCTAAACGTACCCCAGGAGTCCTGACTCCCATTTCCAGCCACTCTAACCACTAGACCCCACTTGTCTGCCATAGCTAGGGATGGAATCCACCCAGCAGTCCTGACTACATGGTTCCATCGATGGATCCATGTAGATTAGGCTGATCGGCAGAGGGAAATGATTATTTAAATCACGGCTTCATTTCTCTTTGCCGAACAAACAAATCTACATGGCTCCGTCAACGGAGCCATGTAGTCTAAACGTACCCCAGGAGTCCTGACTCCCATTTCCAGCCACTCTAACCACTAGACCCCACTTGTCTGCCATAGCTAGGGATGGAATCCACCCAGCAGTCCTGACTACATGGTTCCATCGATGGATACCCACCCTGCAGCAACCTGGAAAGCTCCTTCCAGCCCCATTCTGGAGAGGATGAGCTCACACAGGCCTCTCAGGGAAGTAGCGCCATATCTGGGTGTGGGAAGAGGGGGCAATGGCACTTTCTTTGTATTCCAGTAGTGCCTCAGGATTTAGTATGTACGCATTAGGAGGCCCAAGCACTAGGTGCTGTACAAACATGGAGCAGACGGATTGTCCCTCTTCCATAGAGCTCACAGTATCAGTTTAAGGCAAGAACAAGAGAGATGAGGATAGACAGATGGGGAAGTACCAGGAAACAGTGAGGCGATATTGGTCAGCTCCATAGGCTGTGGGCTCAGCACATCAGCAGCCTGCTGTCTTGCTTTCTATAGGCATCTCCGCAGAAGAGCACTCTGCAAAGTGATGCAAGGAGGATAATGCATTGCGGGTGTTTGTGGGGGATCCTCGGGCAGCCAGAGAAAGCTTGTTTGCCAGTGTGCCAGAACTGTGGCCTGGGCAGTTAGGGGCAGAGATGCCCTCTGGACAGTGGATGGGAGAGACATCCATGCAAGTGCAGGTGAGGGGAGGGAGATACTTACATC